TATTAGAACCTCTACAACTACTCTCAAGACCAGAATCTGTATCAGACAAGGAAACTAGTATAACTGGTTTTGTTTTCCTTGAAGGATACAGAGTTTGGTAGTGAGAGAGGGTCTAGAGCAGCAGAATCTGAAGGATGAGTTTTCTGAACTGGTTCTGGATTTTCTGGAATCTGCTGTCTAGTATGATTGCATTTAAAGGCATGAACAACTCTATTTCCAGGGCGCTAACAGTCCATGGCGTGATGCAGCCATGGAGATATGCAAAATATTGCCTTTGGATACTCCTAACCAAGTAGTTATAAGAGGTAAGGTTCTGAGTGACCATGCACTTGAAACCTTAGAACGCTGTTGTCAAAATGATGAGTATAATGAGTTTAACTGTTGTTCTTAATTGCACTGGAGAAAGTAGGGGAAAAAATGAGCTCAGGGCTAGATTTGGATTTGAGCAGCTAATTTGGGGGACTGTGTGGAGGATGCTGTGGAAGGAATTGGGGCTGCAGGTAGGTAGGAGTGCACTGCAGGAGCCCAGGTGAAGGACGGAGAGGCCTAAGCTGAGCCGGGGGGTGGAGTGGAGCTTGAAAAAAAGATCTAGCAGAGTATGACTACTACGGGCTGAGTTAAAGCCCTCCGAAATACGTATGTTTAAGTCCTAAACCCCAGAATGTAATCTTATTTGGAAATAGGGTCACTGCAGGTATAAGCAGTTAAGATGAGGTGATACAGGTGGACGGTATTCCCTAATCCAATGTGACTGGTGTCCTTATAAAAAGGGGCAATTTGGACACAGATGCACACACAGGGGGAACATCATGTGGACATGAAGAAAGAGATCCAGGCAGTGTGTCTACAAGCCAAGAAACACTGAAGACTGCTGGCAAACCACCAGAAGCTCAGAGAGAGCCTGCAACGGATTCTCCGTGTCCCTTCTAGGAACCAGCCCTGGTAGCACCTTGATCTGGGCTTCTAGCCCCTGTAGGTGTGAGACCATAAACTTCTGTTGTTTAAGTCCTCTGGTTTGTGGTACTTTATTTCCAGATCTCTAGAAACCTAATACAGTGTCTCTTAAAATTTCGTATTTTACTTAGCTTGAGAATTAAAATTTCCTAGGCTAGCCTATGGAGGGGAGCTCTGCTGTGGAAGGGCCATAATTTTTTCAGTGGACCAGCTTTGAGGAAATTCTCCTACAGTGGTCGGAATGGAGGGAACTGGGCCCTGGGAACCGGGGTCAGTTATCTACACTCTTCTTCTGATCTGTGAGCGAGGGACGGCGAGAAGTCAGAGTAAGAGTCTCTTCTAAGCTGATGGATTTTTCTCCTGGTATGTACTGCTGCTGAATTCAGTACTGAGGCCCTGAGGGGGACTGAGAAACTGCAATTAGTCTTCAGAGGCTGTGGCATAACTGTCTGTGAGTCTCAGGTCCCTGGAGCCACTAACAGGTGACTTCAGAGGTGAGGGAAGTCTGGTGTTCAATGGGGTGTCCTTGGTCCGCCTATGCTCATTGTGTTTGTATAACTGAAAGGAGTCGGGCTTTAGGAAACAATTTTTTTTTTAACCATTGGTCTTTCAGATTCAACTGCTGCCAACAAATGGCCTTGCTCTTATGGATAATCCATATTCATGGCTATGTAGTGTATATTTAACAATTAAATGCATGCTTCCAGGGACCTCATGACTTAAAAATATAAAAATTGTATTAGTTCTTATTAATTTTAAGTCATTAATTTATAACATATTATTGCTCTACCTGATTTTGAGCAGGATGTGAATACGCTTCACAGGTAGAAATAAGACAGTTTATTGAGGTATAATTTATAGTAAAGTGCACACATCTTAAGTTTACAGCCTGATGATTTTTCCCTACATGTAGATCCATGAGGTGTGGCACATTTCTAGAAGGCTCTATCCTGCCTGGCTAATACTTTCCTCTGAAGGTAACTACTATAATTCTGTCATCATAGGTCAGTCACAGGCACAGTTTCAGTCACTTTTTAAGCATTATGGAGTTCTCTGTACCTGGCCACTTGCAAGTTTTTATGTCAGAGTGATGTAGCTTTCATAAAAGCCATTGAGTTCATCAACTATACCTCAATTAAAAAAAAGTTTAGAAAAATGTCAAAACAAAACAACAAACAAAGCCGTTGAAAGCAAGGAAGTAGCAGGGATACAAGTTTTCTTTAAAAAAAAATCAACGTACAGTTGATTTACAATGTATCAGATTCTGGTATATAGCATAGTGCTTTAGTTGTATGTATATATTCTTTTTTGCGTTCTTTTTTTTTTTTTACTTTTTTGTGGGGTGAGATAATTAGGTTTTTTTTTTTAAATTTATTCTTCTTTGATGGAGGTACTGGGGACTGAACTCAGGATCTGGTGCATGATAGTCAAGCACCCTACCACTGAGCTGCACCCTCCCCCACCTTTTTTGTATTCTTTTTCATTACAAGTAACTACAAACCATTGAATGTAGCTCCCTGTGCTATGTAGTAGGACTCTGTTCTTTATCTATCCTGTATATAGTAGTGTGTATCCGTTAATACCGAACTCCCAATTTATCCCTCTCACCCCCTTTCCCCTTTGGTAACCATAAGGTTGTTTTCTATGTCTGGGAGTCTCTTTCTGTTTTGTGAATAAGTTCATTTGTGTCATTTTTTAAGATTGTACATGTAAGGGACATCTTCAACATATGAATTTTGAGCAGACACAAACATTCAGTCCATAGCAGGAACTCAATAGACAACTGACAAAAATGCATTTTGGTTGCAGTTATTTTGATTGTCAGCTTCATGAAGGCAGAGAGTTTACATGTCTCATGCTTCTTCTCTAGCCTCTCCAACACTTGCCATTGTTAACTGACAAAAACTTGCTAATATTTTAATTTTGATTTGGCTTGAGCAGATGGGGTAGATAGCAGACACTGTGGACCTCAAGCTCCCATTGCTTTATGTACAGCTGTGGGTAATATTACTATGTTTAAGTTTTTATGTAATTCTGGATTCCTCAAGCTCAGGAGTTGGGATGTTTGCTTCTCATTCTGGTGGAGCTTGCTGATAGATGTAAAAGTTTGCACAAGATTAAGCTACAGTAAAAAAAGAACAGGTAAACTCTTTCTGGTTCTAAAATACGAGTGTGTCCCTGTAGCAGAGGCATTTGGAGAGGCAAGATGAGTGGTCCTGCTTTCAGAGTGTGGCTGACTTTCTAGGGCATCTTTCACTGAATTCAAGACTCTTGTGCCTCAAGGTACTTGGGTGCTCCAACCGAAAGGTCCTGTGGCCTCCTTCTTTTGTTCTCTGCCTGTCACCCCGAGAAATCTCTGGTTTCCTAAAGAGATTTGATTAATTTAGAAAAACATTTGCCTTCCTGGGACAGCCTCATTTATGAGGTGACTGTTGTGTGACCTCTGGGGTTTCTGTGCTCTAGTGCATGTAAACCATACGGACATCTCTACCCAGACCAGTCCATCTGTGCACCAGGCATCGAGCTGGCCCCGCAGCTTGCTGTTCTAACACACTGGTGAAGCCTCATGAGATCGAAAGCCCTTTACAAAGCATTAGACAGAGTTAACACTGGCCTTAACCTTTGAGGTCCCGTAACCACTTCCGTCCAGCATGGTTATTATGGTGGTCACTTTACCCAGTTCTGCTGTACTTAGGTACTCCCTTCCTTTTCAAAGTGCTTCCCAACATGCTTTAAGATATTAATTCTGGGCAGAAGTCCTGTGAAGGAGACCAGATTTTAATCCCAATTTACACATGAAAAATGATGGCAAAATGGAAACTGAGCATGAGGATATATGTATAAAACAGGTAGAATGCAGGCAGGACCAGATGCCCAGTGCTCTGTGACTAGCTTTACAGCCATGCACTAGAGCACTCCTCCTTTCCCAGCGTCTCCTGGAATTAGCTGTGCCTTTTTTGGAGAGGAGGTGATACCATCTGTGTTAGTTTCCTACAGCTGCTGTAACAAAGTGTCACAAACTCAGTGTTTCAGAACAACAGAAATTTATGGTCTCACAGTTCCAGTGGTTAGAAGCCCAAGTCAAGGTGCCCACTAAATCCTGTAGGGGAAGGAGCCTTCCTTGCCTCTTCTGGTTTCTGGCAGCCCCAGATATTCCTTGGCTTGTGGCAGTATCATTCTCATCTTCACTTGGCATTATCCCTGTCTCTTCACCTAATCTTCCCTTTGTGCATATGTGTGTCTATGTTCAAATTTCCCCACATTATAAGGACTCATTAGATTAGGGCACAACCTAACCACCTCCTTTTAACCTGTAACGTTGGCAAAGACCCTATTTTCAAATCCGATTACACTCTCAGGCACTGAGGGGTTAGGACTTCAACATATGTATTTGGAGGACACAGTTCAATTCTGAATACTACCTCTTGAAAATTCTGACTAATGGCCTCAAACGTGGCACTTAACCAAGCCTGCTTTCTAGACATTGTTCAGCCCTGATAACGACCACCTGAAACCTGGCATGGATATGAAGGCAAGGTGGGGGTCAGGAGACACTAATCTTTTTTTAAAATTGAAGCATAGGTGATTTACAATGTCGTGTTAGTTTCTGATATACAGCATAGTGATTGAGTTATACATATATACATTCTTTTTCATATTCTTTTTCATTATAGGGTATTACAAGCTATTGAGTATAGTACCCTGTGCTACAGAGTAAAACCCTGTTATTTATCTATTTTGTATATAGTAGTTTGTATCTGCTAATCCCAAACTCCTAATTTATTCCTCCCCTTCTTTTCCCCTTTTGTAACCATAAGTTTGTTTTCTATGTCTGTGAGTTTATTTCTGTTTTATAAATAAGTTCATTTGAGGAGACACTAATCAGATGTCTGGACCTCTTCGGTCCCACAAAACATGACAACAAACCTTGATCATAAAGGAGCCAAATTCTACCGCAAGTTAGATGATCCACCTCTGAATAATGCAAGATAAACTATACAGTCGGCCTCACTGAGCACAAATTTAACATCTTCAATCATTCTTACCAGTAATGACTTCATACGAGGATCTGACAGATACTCTGGACACAGCTGCTGTTGGCAGTCGCATTGCCTGGCTCTCCCCTCTGCTCTGTTTCTTCTCGCACTTGCCTTTGCTACGCCATCTTCTTAAATGTGTTCCTTGGTTCTGTTTTTCTTCTGTCCTGGTTTGCCTTTAGCTTTCTTTCCAAGTGGAGGTCATAGATCAGACCTTCATGAGGAGAAGAATCCAATAGATGATTAGCATAGTATGAGACAAAAAGATATGTCAGCAAAGAGGAATACACATTTATTGGAAACGTAATAAAGAAAAGCCGTGAATTATATCTTAAAATAAGCTTCATACTTAGTTTTCTTATTATAAAATATATATTCATTTAAAAAACTTTTAGGAAAAAAATGAGGAAGCATTAGAAGAAAATAAAAAGAATCCATGGTTGCCTTCATAATTCCAATGTGGGCAATGAACTTTGTTAATGTTTTGGCATATTCCTTCCAGATGCATATGTATAAACATTTTGTTTTTACAAAGTTGGTATTGTACATGTGGGTTTAAAATCTGCTCTCTGTCTCTTTCTGACAACATATTATAAGTATCTTCTTGTGTCATTAAAGATTTTTCTACAGCACCATTTCATTTCATCATTCTACAGTAGAAATGATGTTCCATTGTAGGGAAGTACTAAAAAATAAATCAGTCCCCTACTGTGGGGCTTTTTTAGGGTTGTTTTCAAATGTTCCTTAGTATAATCAGTGGTGCTATGAATAGGTTTATAGTTAACCTTTTGATAGATCTATGCTTATTTCCTCAGCGTAAATTCATAGAAGTAAAATCAGTGGGTCTAATTTATACATAATTGACAAACTTCTCTCTGGAAAAGATGGATCAATTTACACTCCTGACAGCAGGGCTTGAGAGCTCATATTTCCTGGCATGTTTGATGATACAATATAGAAGAATTTTAAAAAATCATTCCAACTTGGTAAATTAAAAAAGCGACATTTTAATTTGCATTTGTATGACCATTTATACTGCATAGAATAGATCAAAGGAATAAATATGATACATAAATATAAGGAAATAAACACTATGTAATTTCCAATGGAAAGAGTAGGATATTGGGACAACTGACTACCCATTTGGAAAAACAAAGATCTTGTGCAAATTTATTGACCACTCATATTTCTAATTTTGTGAATTGCCTGTTTATGTCCTTCATCAACTTTGCATTTAGGTATGACTGTCTTTTCTTACGGTTGTGTAAGTGTTCTTTGTGCTTTGAATATCTGAATTCAAATTTTCATGTTTATTTTTCATAAGCAATGGCAACATTTTCCCAAGTTTTCCTGTGCCATTTAACTGTATTTGTAAACTTTCTCTTAACACGGAGAAATTTTTACAATATTTTAGTCAATTTATCGATCTCTTACTTTCAGTTTCTTTTAAATTGCCAGTCTTAAAATTTTCTTTCCAATCCTGAAAGTGTGTACACATTTTCTGAGTATTTTTGTGATTTTCTTTTACATTTAAAATTTGAATCCACTTGAATATGTTTGATGTTGTTATAGGACATGAAGTATTGATCTAATTTCTCTTTTTTCCAAATAGATAATTAGTTGTCCCATTGTTCTATTCTTTCCACTGGAAATTACATAGTAGTATTTACTTCTTCATATTTATATACTTGATATGTTATTTCACCAGAACCACACTGCTTTAATTACTGCAGCTTTATCAGATTTTTTTTACCTTTATCAAATTTTTAAACCTGTGAGGGCAACCATATTCATTACTTCTCTCTTTTAAAACGCTCTTTAAAACGATACTTACACATATTCTCTTCACTTATTTTTAAAATGTTAAGAAAAAAACAAGGAGAATTGTTCAAATATTGCCTTAAAACTCATGTTTTGTTAAATAATCATGTGCTTTTATGATAGTTGATGTTTCTTTCCCCTTTTGTAATAAGGGTAATTATACAGGAATAACAGGGAGACCAAGCTGTAGGAGAAAGCACAGTAACTTTGGAAACAACCAGTCCGGGGTTGGAAACCTTTGCCATTTGTTGTTAGCTGTGTGCCTTGGTCAAGTTAATTCACCTTTAAGAGCCTCACTTTTTCCATTAGTTAAAAAAAAGGAACAAAAATACCATATCTACCTCCCAGGGCAATAAGAGGATTAAATGGACGTTGCTAACACAGAGCAAGTCACTGCCGTCAGAGGAGCCTAGGAAATGTTAATTTTCGTTCCCTTGTACTGCTCTAGGAGCTATTGTTTGTAAAACAACTTTATATATATCATCTCATTTGACTCAAAAAAATCTTGACTCACTGGTAATCATATGATTTCTGTGGTATTAAATTACATGATGATTTAATAAGATATGATGATACAATGGCTATTAAATGGTGATGTTACATTTTTTATTTACTTAAACACATCACTGAAACTTTTGCTAGACTCTTAGGTATGAGATCATCTTAAATAATGACTTGGTATGGCAACATTTTTTACCTTTTCAACAACTTGGTATATATAAATAAGAATATGTACACCATTAATGCACATATTTTAGAAGCATATCTATTCTATAAAGTAAAGCTTATATGTATGTGATATGTTTATAGTCTAACTAAACCATTTCTGTTAACAGCCCTTGATTCCCATTACATTAAACATAATTTTTAATTGAAAAATTAATAAGAAACTTATTCTCAGTTGAGTCAAATCACAGGCTAAACCTCATAATAAGTTAGTAATTTGTATTTATAATTACTCTGAAACAAATAAATACATAAACTAGTATAATATACTGCCTTTTGTTAAGACAGTCTGAAGTCACTGAGACATGAATTTGAGTCTCTGCATTACAATGTAGCATCTGTGTGATTTTGGGTAAGTTACCTAAGCACTTGAAGTCTTAGTTTCTCATCTGTAAAATGGAATAATAATGGTATCTAGGAGAAAGATTGTTTGAGGGTAAAGGATGTAACTCTAACAAGCATTTATCATATGAAGTGTTCAACAGATAGTTCTTTTTGCTGCTGTCATTGCTGTTACTGACTGGTGAGTAGTGAAACCGTGCAGCCCCACTGGAAGGAAGGACGTAAAAGAATTTGAAGAAATGATAACTGAAGTTACCAAACAGTAAACTCATGGCAAGTGTAATTGTATTTCAAGCAGATGATAGCTTTTTAAAAAATTAAATCATGCCTGTGTATTTCTGGGTGGAGAGTTAAAAAGTTATTTGTAGAGCTATTATTACTAACACAAAGTGCTAGTAGCAAGGATGATGAAAAACAAAGGCTTCAAAAGTATTATTACAGAGAACTGTATTCACAGATACGGTTAAGCCTGAACCCAAAGAACAGAGGTTTGGGATGCTATGAACTCATAGAGCAATATTCCCTTTTGATTAATGCATAAAAGCTTTGTTTTATTTTGCACACAAATCTTCCTTCCAGCATTTTCAGAGGCTGTCACAAAAAAACTCATTTAAGATATTGGGTTTCCTGGATCCTCTCCAAGCTTACCTTCCTGTATTTAAGACTTATATGAGCAGAAGACTTAGACTGAAGTAAAGAGAAGACTTTCTTCTCCTTGGCTTTTAAGAGGGTATGTTCCAGAAATCTCAGGAGAATCCGGCAGATGCTGCACAGTGAAGTATGGGGCATATACTTTTGGTACCAAGGTAGGGGAGGAAAATTCTTCCTTTCTTCCCTTTTAGGTTGTTTGGCTGGTCTAATAATCAAATTGATGTAAGACAGATTATGTCTATATAACAAGAAAAAAATCCCTCAGTTTAATTTGTGTATGGAAGCCCATAGAAATGGGACTTCAAGAAGAGACCAAAGCAGGCAGCTTTTATACCTTCAGGACAAATTAACAATAAACTTGTGAGAAACTGATGAGACAAAGAAGTTTGGACTTGGGGTAGTAAATTAGTGTAGAAGAAGTTTGTTTATATATCTTTAGCCCTAAATTCTCTATCTCTGGTGACTGGGACGCCCCTTTTACCTCCTGGGAGAGGAAGGTTACCTTTCACATGGGAGATTTATTTCCTGCTTTCAGGAGGACAAAGGAGGCTCAGAGTGTCTCTCTTGCACCAGCTGTTTCTTAAGTAGCTTTAATTCAAAATAATCAATATGCCAAAGTGGCATATTTGGGAGCAGGTTGCTCTGAACCCCATCACCAGTAAACTAATGTTCAGAGAACCAGGCCTTAGAAGAGCCATGAATGTAAGATAGTTAAAATCACTCACACCAGCAGCAAAGAGTTGATCCTAGTTTTTGCTTCTTGAGTGCCTGCTTTGTCTTAAAGCAACTGGCAGAATTCCTCGGCTCTGTGAACATGCAATTCTGTTCTTGAATTAGAGGGATGCTTTTGCTCATGTGGTCTGGAAAGGCTTCCTTGGCTGATGTTTTTCAGAGTGGGTGAAGCACTAAATTCTGAAGGTCAGAGAAGTCATGACACATGCTGGGTAAGCTCGTCAGCTCCTCCATCGTGAGTTCAGAAGGGCGTGATGCAGACAGTCCAGTAAGCAATAGTCATGATGGTCTGCTGCAGAACATTTGGGTTTCCCTACAGGTGTAATTGGTAAGAAGTGAGTCATTGGTCATCACATTTTCTGGAAGTCAGAAGAGGAAAAATTTAGAGTGAAATTGAGTACAGTGTTGTAATTTATTCTTGTCACTCATATGAAAGGATGATGCTTTGTCTTGAGCTTCCTCGTTGATAAAGCTTACTATGGCCTGGTTCTCATGCTAAGCACTGACTAGGGATGAATAGAATGTATATATAAGACTTTTTCAATCTGATTTCATGTTGTTTATACTAGGAATGTATAAAGATGCTGTGTGCAGATATGTGTACCATATCCTTTCATATGGTTAAAAAAAAAAAACCCAAACCAAAATAGTCCATTGGGTAGTGAATGGGGATGGTGGTGGTACAGAGCAAGGGGGAGAGCTTCATAGCCAAAGAAAGGAAAAGTGAACACATGAAAACTGTGTAGGTTGAGTAGCTAGGCCAGAAGGAAACTCGTGGAAATTTCCTTATCCTAGGGAACAGTCTTGCCTATGTTGCGAAGCTAATGTTGTCAAGCCATCTGCAAATTCAAACTTTCAGTAAATTTACTAGACATATTCCTCCTGTTTGAATACAAAACTCCACTTTTTCAAGGGCTAAAGAGTTCCTTAAAATCAAGTGTTGATCGAGGGTTCAAGGCTGAAACTTGAAGGAGACAGATGTGTCTGTGGCCAGGAAAAACAGTTCAGGGAAGCATTAGTGTGACTTGTAGCTAGCACTCACCACTTCAGACCAAAATTTATGTTTTCATATCTTACGGATGAACGGGATAAAGAGGAATTGATACATTAGGGGCTTGAAATTCAAGATCTTTGATGATTTCCAACAAATATTTCCAAACAGCTCTTCTGGGTAGGTCACAGCTTATCCTGAAAGGGAGGTCTTCCGTCCCTCTGCCTCACAGACGACATAGGCGAGACCTTCCACTCTAAAGATTTCCGTGGCACCACTAGCTTTTCCATCCGAACATGATTCCAGATATACGCCATTCTTTGCTTCCATGGTCGGGAAAGAAACTTTGTTGCCTGGGAGGAGGGGCTGTCAGAAAGACGACTTGAAAAGTCCTTTGTGTTATCAGTAAATAGGAAGTTCTAACTCTAAGGTCCCTCCCTTCGGCCCCTCCCTCTTTTCGCATGTCATTTTCAATTATATATGGGCGATTTGAAGGCTTCTCTCTCGCTCTAAGCCTGTCACCTTAGGAGGATATAAAAATCCTTCTGGGAAAGAAACTGGGCAAGAACAGGACAAAAGCGGAAGGCTCTGCCCCCTTTCCCCCAACCCCCACTCCTCAATTCTCTCAGTCTCCCTCCTCTTCTCCCTTCTCCTTCCTCAAAGGTCGCATTAGTTGAGGGTCCTCCGTTCCCGTGGCCCAGGCCCCACCCCTCGCTTTAAGCCAGGTTGGTGCCTTCATTTGTAGTGAGTGAACAAGTGCACATATGCCGCCGCGGTTTCCTGAGCCCGGGCCGGGACACCTTGTCATCTCGCTCCGGGGTGGATACGGGCCTCTCCAGCCTGGCGTTTTGACCTGACTTGCGCCTCCTCCTCGCCGCTCCCCAGTGGCCCCAGACATAAAGGTCCCCTGAAAGCAGGGTTAAAGCTCGAGTTAGAATGCTCCGGAGATTAGAAGCAAATTACCGAGGTCGGGGCACGTGGGGGTAGTTCCGGTCCTTGAGACACCGGTGGCCCCATAGTCCCCTCCATCCAAAAGAAAGCAGAAAGGGCTTGCGCTCGCGCCGAGGGTCTGGCGAGGCAGGGGTGCAGCCCCAGACGCTTGAAGTTCTCGACGGTCCCCAGAGTCTAGTGCCTCGATTTCCTCAGCCTTCCCAGAAAAGCCAGGCCCAGGGGCCCAGGGTCAGAACTTTCGAGAATAGGACAGCATCCTTGCCCACAGGACAACAAAGTCGCCTAACAGGAAACGGTCAGTGACGCTAAAGCTCTGCGGGATGATCTTGTCCGGGGTTCGAGTCCCCCAGGCAGCTGTGGGTAGGGGCTGGGCAGGTCTTTGGGCTGTGCTGAGCGATGCATGGGTCTCCAAAGCTTGATTTTTTGGTGTTCAGTGACCATGAATCTCAAATTAAATTCTCTGCCTAGTTTTTCACTTCAGTCAATGGGTTCCGGCCTCGAGGCCAGTAATTCGGGCGCGCTGAGCCCTGAGACCCGCGCTCACACCGCTCACGCTGAGAAGAGACGAGTGGCACAGCCTTTGTGAACCAGAGGCGCAGTTCGGATTCCTGCGGTCCGTGGAGCTGGCAGTTCGTCATCCCCCGCATCAAGTTAACGGCGTTTGCGGTCTTCCTCCTTTAATAGGCCATGAAGTCAACAAACTCCCCACATGGTGGCTCCCTTTACTTAAGTTGAGTAGTGAATTTGCAC